AAATTTCACCTGCCTTTAGATGCTTAATGAAGAGTACCAGTAAATTTTCAGTCTGAAAATGACAGAAGAAATTGGATGCTTTCAGACTAAAATTTTTTTATATATTTTAATCCATGATAATTGTAAATATTAGTTTGCACCTCATGGTGAGTGCAATAGATAAGAATATTGCAAATCTTGAAAGTTTTTAATCTGTTGCGTTTTTCAGTGGGCATTGTGATGTCTCTCTTTTAGATTAGAAAAGCAATCTTGTATGTTAACTCTGAAATTGCATACGGTTTTGTGGTAAGGAGTTTGATCCTTGATAAACAAATGTAATCACTTTTATGTCTATAATTCAAGTTAACTTTTAATTGATCAACGGTTTCAATAGAATTCAAAGAACCTGCTGAGATTGAACAGCTCATTGCAATGGACTCTAGGGCAGCAGTAATTGTTTTAGTGTACAGACAGTGGAATGAAGTAGTTATAGTTAATGATGAACATTGTGGTACAATCACTACCAAAGAACTGACATGGGACTGAATTGAACAACTGCTCTCGAGGACAGTGAGCATATAAAGATCAATCCTGGAAAAACACATGAATTGATCGTGGATGAACTTTAACAACATTTCAACTAAGAATGTGCAATACTGTGACAAAGACTGAAAATTACTCTGAGATTGTAGGAAAGCTTCCTAAAAAAGTGTTATAGCTATATGTGAAAATACTATGTTAGAAACATGTATGTTTACATTCAGCTGGAAATGCCAAAGTTATTTTTAAATGCCAAGATTATAACAACTCAGATTCTTTAAAACTGGAGAATCCTTTTATTCACTTACATTGTAATTGAAAATAATGCAAATTGTGGTAAGCCTACGAGGCTGGTTTGGAACCATGATTGCCAGTAGTTTGCTTCATTAAAAAATAGACAGTTGTTAAAAGGTGAGAAATTTAATTAAATGATTACATTTAAACACATTTTTTGGTGTCTTTGTCATGTTTATTTAAACCTCAAAGTGACCTTTTAATGAGAGATTTCAAGTGAGTGACTTATCTTACATCTGATTCCTCCAGGCCAATCAGAAATGGATTGAATGAATGATGGCACAGACTTTTTCACTACAATATAGAATGAAGATTACTGCAATTAAAATTAAATCTATATTGTTTTCTCTTTATAGATTCAGTTTCCCAATGCTGCAATCATTTTGCAGAATCAATGCTGTTGTACACTTTATGGCTTGAACAGTATTTTTATAATTGGACATCCAAAACTTCACAGTAACTGCGGCCTAAACAGTTTTCTTTTCACAAGTTTGTCTTTTTTTTTCTTTATTCCCATATTATGCGCCTGTATTTATAAAACTCAGTATCCTACTGAGCTTTTGTGATTACTTTGTCTAGTTGCATTTGTACTTTATGAGAATTAAGTTTTATATTCAACCACATTCTCCATGTTTTCCATTAAGTGCACTTTTTTTTCAAAAATATGCCAGAATGATTTCATTTTGGTCACAACATATTAATTGGGTATATATTCATTTTTGAAGTAAAAATGAAAACTTTAATCGTGAATGGCTCAGGTGATGACAGGAGCCTATGATCAAAGCTATGTTATTCTCTAACCTCTTCTCATTGTGATTAGAAGTGCTGGAAGAGATAGTGAGCTATCTTAAAAAAGTTTCTAATGATATTTTGTGTAATATTTTGTTAATCATAACTTTTGATTTGATTTATTACTGTCATGTGTACCGAGGTACAGTGAAAAATGGTGTCTTATGTGCTTTACAGGCAGATTGTACTACACAAGTGCATTAGGGTAATAGAACAGAGTGTAGGATACAATGATGGAATTGGGCATCCAGAATGTTGCCGGTAAATCTCTCCACAGTCTTAATCAGCATCAAAAAGGATGAAATTTAAAAAAAAACAAAATTAGATTGTCTTTCACACAAAGAAAGCCATTGGAAAAGATCTTATTTAGGGTTAGGATTTCCAACCCTTCTGCTTTGGCCCAAGGTTCACTGTAATGGGGTGATTAGTCCCCTGACCACTTGGGAGAAGCTGTCCTTGGCTGCAGGGTTCTCGTGTGTGGGATATCCTCATCATTGTACTTGCAACCAAACTCTTGTCTGAAGCTTACTTGTGCTGTCATTATTCGGAGCATTGGAACTAAACAAAGTTACCTGGAAATTCCATGCATAATGAAACTGAAACATGAATTAGGGGAGGAACAGACAAAAAAACACTGGGGAGAGTGGAAGGAAAAAGAAAACTAGGAAGGAAAAAAGATTAAAAACAAATTGAGGACAGAGAGAAAATGAAACCGTGACATTGGGAAGGGAGAGGGAGAATTTGTGTCAGAATGTGTTACCTCTGTTTTGATGCTTTTCTGTAATGGAATGAACCTCTCGTCACTGAAGCTGGGAGTTGGTATGGTGGGAATTAGTGAATTGCATCAGGCTTAGATTATTTTTACCTATTGTATTTATAGCTTTTATTATGACACATTGCAGCATTATGAGCACTTCAATTAAAAGTTACTTTTATCAATGATGTTTTTATTGAATCAGTCTGTTTACTTGGTGTTTTTCATTGCAGTCAATATGTAAAAATTATTTTGTGATGTTTCTATTTTGAATAAAATATTTTCTTTGTATGTTAACTATGGAAATGAATAAAAAAAGTTATATTTATTCAGGGCTCAATGATACTAGATACCCAGCTAAAGTAAACGTAGTTACATTTGCAAAGAATGGAATAAATGTTATGTGATTGACAATCACATAGCCACCGTCTCATGGTCAATCAAACTACTTTTGGGAACCTCATTACAAATATGCTACCTGTGAAAATGAAGGGAGAATTAGAAAAGGAGATTTTTAAAAAAGTAAAATCATTGCAAATTCTCATTTTGATTTTAAGAGTTAGGTTTAAAATTGACTTCAAATATCATTGCCAGTGTTTTTGCAATAGAAGTGAAACTGAACATAAACACAGTTCTAAAATACAAACACACAGAAAGTCAGAGAACTACATCCACCTTTCTCTTGACTCATTTCAACTTGCTGCCCCTTGGACTAGACTTAAACAACATCTGTAAGCAAATGACCATTGATGATGATTAAAACAAAGTGCTGTGGATGTTAAAAATCCAAAATTCAGCAAGTCTGGCAGCATTATGAAAAGAGAAACAGAATTAATGTTTGCGTCTGATGTGCCTTCTTTAGAACTGAAGGGGCTGGGTGGATATTATGCAGTAAGAAATGTGAGAGATGGAGCAAGTGGATCAGATGGTGCAGGTGGCCCAGGGAAAAAGGCAAAGAGTGTGCTAGTGGGAGTAGAAATGGGATATATAGATGAAGTGTAGCTGTTAAAAGCAGAAAATAGATTGGCTTCCCTCAGGGCAAACCCATGCTAACAAGACATCAGATCATCTAAATGGAGAACAGAGTTCATGGTCTGAAGTTGATGAGTTTAAGGTTTGAGTTCTGAAGACTGTAAAGAACCTAAGTAGAAAATTAGATGCTTTTTCTCCAGTTTACTTCAAGCTTCACTGGCACGTTGCAGTCCTAGGACAGAAATGTTAGCATGAGAGGAAGGTAATGTACTGAAATGGCAAATGACAAGAAGGTCACTGACAGGGTGAGTGTTCTGCAAGGCAGTCACCCAGTCAATGTTTGATTTCATCAATGTGAAGGAAAGCTGTATTGTGAGCGGTGAATACAGTGGTCTAGGTTGAAAGAAGCATAAGTAAATTGCTGCTTCACCAGGAAGGTGTGTTTGGAACTTTGGACAACGAGGAAGGAGGAAGTAAAGGGACAAGTGTTATACCTTCTATGAATGCATGGGAAAGTGCTATAGTGACAAAAGATGAAGATTAATCTCCTGGATGTTGCTGTAAATTGCACAGGAGAAAAATCAAAGGAATGTTCAAAACATTGTATACTTTAGACCATTTTATTTGCTTTTCTTATGAAAATATTAGAAACAAAGAAGGCTGTTAGATTAATAGTCAAGAATCATGCAATAGGGTAATGATGAATCTGATCCATTTACAGTTACTATGGAAACACTTGAGAATGAACCTGCTTGGATGTTCAGTGACTGGTGTATGGTTGGGGAAAGGGATGGTCTGTCTGGTTGAAATTCCAGCAATACCTCCAATCCGTGGCAATCAAGTTAATATAGTGGCAACAAGAAGGAAAAGTACATTTGTAATGTAAATAAACATAAGGAAGAAACGGGTCTCTATTGGTGAGGTTAGCTGAGGAATACAATTAGCAGAAGAACCCAGTGTAGAACATAAATGCCATCTTGCACCTGTTGGGCTGATTGACATGTTTCTGAGGAAAAGTACTTGCAGTTGAATAGAATCCTTAGGACTTTCAAAAATGCTTTAGTGTGCATAATCTTTTTTTAGTGCAATCACCATTGTAATGTAGAAAACAAAACAGCCAATATGTACATAACAAACTCCCACAAACAGTAACGTGATGAACCTGATAAATTGGATTTGGATTGAGGGGTGAACATTGCCGAGGAGGGCATCAGGGATAATTTCCTTGCTGTTTTGTTGAAATGGTGCCAACAAATCATTCACCTCTCCCTCAGCAGATCATCACATTCAAATGGATGGTGACTCCGACAGTGCCACACTCCCTCAGCAGTGCACTGGGGGTTTCAGTCATAGTTAGTTTGTACGGTGGGAACCTGAAGCCACAACCTTCAGACAGGCCAGAGTGCCTGTAGACTTGTATCATGATGTGGAATAAAGAAGGCCTTGAATGATCTCATTGGATGGTGGAACAGACTGGATGGGCTGAATGACCTCCTTTTGCTGCTACTTATGGTTTTATTTATGAACTTGGCTCTGGAATAGTGGTCAAAATGATTCAAAGGGGATGAAATATATTTACAGAAAAACTTGTCATTTCAGTTGCACAAGGAAGTTTTCAGAAGCAGTGGGTGGTGCTTGTGAAAAGGGGGAGGTCTCGGGTGGCTCAGTTTGAACCAATCTGAGTGTAAATCGCTGCAGTTTAGAAACCAAGTGAGGAGACAGGTTGGAGTATTCCGTGTCGGTGAAGAGGGAGTTGACTTTAGTCTTTCCCGTTACCCAGAGGCTAGGGCTCACCCGTTCGAAGCTCCTGTCTGACTGGGACCCTGGGAGGATGGAGCAGAGTCTAGCCCACAAACGAGCCCTGGTTACGGGCGCTGGGAAAGGTAAGGAGCCCGGGGAAAGTAGCGGGGAGTTAGGCCTCGGCCGCTATCGTCCAGTCCCCTTTGTAGCCTCTGAGCTCCTGCATTCTCTGTGTCTCTCTCTAAATCTCACACAAACCTGGACCGAATGTGTTAAAAGGCAATTACTACTCTTACTTTTCCCTGCCTATCAGAGGGGCTCTCACTAATACATTGTAACTTCTTAAAGGAAAAGAAACTTGGGGAGCAGTGTTGCAATCTGTTGTACTATTTCTGTAATCTTCCCCACTAATTGTGGCCTCTCGAGTATTCTTGATTTCAATCACTTCACAGCTAGTTGCTGTGTCTTTAACAACCTCCACAGTTTGTTACACCTACCTATCACTGACTGTATGCCTCATGGTGCTCCTTGGGCTTAGCTTTTGACTACTTGTCCTAATATGTGTTTCTCAGGGTCAAGTTTTGTGATGTTTTTACAACATGTAAGAAACTGATACTTAAAAAGCTAGTGAAGAGCTTCAGAAAAATCACTCAACTGGTTAAGGAAGGCCTTCTGTGTAATCCATCTCTGGGACATCCAGGTATGGATATACCCGCTGCCTGTGCCTGTTGTTCATCACCTTTTCAAACTGAGTTGTTTCTGACAACACAACTTTTCCATTTTTGGATAAGCTGTTCTCCAAATAGGCTGACCTTTGTCCTGATACTGCGAGGTCTCTTTACAGCATTACTGAGATGGGTGGGATTCTGCTCCCTAGTAACATATTACCAGAAATAAAATGTTCTGGTTAATCTGTGAACTTTAGTTAAACAGTTCAAAATGTGTATTGTCATTTGGTCACACCACACCACACCACAGTCTCTGACGTTCATAAAAGTTCTCGTGTGGTCTTCCCGTAGAGTTGTTAAACGTTCCAATAGTTTTGCCTCCACATCTCAATCCAGGAATTAATTCCACAATATATAATTGCTCTTTATCTACAGGATTTCTTTATTAATCCTGAAACTGCATTTGCTGTTGAATATCCATGTTTCTTGTGCCTACAGTTTAGTTGAATGTTTTAAATAATGTAGTATTTCACAAAAGTTTTATGCAGTTAGGCCATCGTCTCTCTACTTTCTTTAAGCTGAAAGTCCAGTTTCACCAGCTCTCTTGCACTTGGGATCTGGGTTCTAGTTTTAATTCCATTAGCCTTTCTTCTGGGTGAAGTTGAAAAGGAAGGGGGTGGTGTCCGTAGTGCTGTTGTGTCAGGGGAATTTCATTAATTTTACTATTCAGTGGAATAGTTAAAAATTGGTTGGCAGGCTACCTTTAACCAATCAAAATTCGGTGCCAACATAGTTTGATAAAGTTATCTGACTCAATGTGTTGTCTCCAGATATGACTTTTAATTTCTGCTGAAGTTGTACTGGAATTTTTGGGTTAAATGTTCATCGGATCTGTGACTGCAATCCTGGGGAATGGGTGAGGAGTGGTTTTAGGGGTTGAGATGGGGTGGTGATGAGGATTGTGGTGGGGAAAAAGGAGGGACGTGATGAGGTGTGTGGTGGGGATTAGATTCTGAAATTTTGCTTGTTCTTTATTTCATACTAACAATATTTGTTATAGGCATTGGAAGAGCCATTGCTAAGGCCTTACTAGAATGTGGTGCAGAAGTTATTGCATTAAGCAGGACACAATCTGACTTGGATAGCCTTGTTCAGGAGGTATGTAAAAACATGTTGTAAAGACATTGCACTGACTTTCCATCGTGAACAGGTTTCCAGTCCAGTTGAACAAAATAATTCTTTAAGTTAGATTATAATGTCTTGAGTTTTTAAATGTTCTTTCCAGTATTGACGTTAACTGGATGTACAGTTCTGCAGATGCTGCAAATCAAAAAACAGAAAATTCTCAAGTAAACAGGAGGCAAAATGAATGAATAGATCTCTCCACTGCAGTTATCTGAGCTGAGGAGTTGCAGAATTTGACTTATTTAGTTAAATCAATTTTGCACCAGTTTTTATTCTGTAGGTGATTAACCACTTGATGTCTATTCAGTAATGCATACTCCTAAATTAGCTTGCCCATACTTAACGAGGATTTTGTTTTTATCTTTTTTAGTCCCCTAAGATGTTGACTATTTGTGTGGACATCAGCATTTGGGAAGCCACGGAAAAATCTCTGAAAGATATAGGCCGTATAGACCTTTTAGTGAACAATGCTGCAGTTGCCATTTTGCAGCCCTTCCTAAGTGCCACAGAGGATGCATTTGATAAGTATGTAAAAGATATTGTAAAAATCTGACCCAGTTTTTTTTTTATTTAGAAACAAGACTTGTGCATGAAGGAAAAATCTAATATGCATTTTGAAATTATCTTGGGAATAAATAGTCAAATTCTCGCATTAAAGCTGTGTGTATGTTTACATAAATTGCGTAAATAGGTTGCTTTGTATTTCCTTAGTTGTACTCCAATAAGTTTCCCTGGTGAGGGAGCATTTTGTAAGCCGAGATGTTCTCAGTGGTGAGTTTGAACCCAATTAAGAAAACAAAGGCAACATGTTTGTTATGAGTAAAACTGTAGGTTTTCTATAACTTGTCTGTTTTTAACTTTTAAGCTTTTTTTTATTTAAAAGGTGTAGAACTGGTTTTTAAGACCTGCTTGAGCACTAATATCCATGTAGGAACATGATGTGGTTTAAAATGAGAGGGACTGGCTGAACATGTAGTATTCAGCAATACAAAAGTGGGGTTGTAATACTGATTTTTGGGAGGACATTGTGGTATTGGAAAGAGACACAATCCAATTGGTTAAGAGTATTTTACAGGCTTCCAAATGGTGACAAATAGGAGAGGAAAATCTACAGGGAACTCTCAAATGTACCAGGTCTGTAGTGATAATATTGGAGGGGCTTACTGTAGATTTGGATTATGTTAATGGAAGGAGGAGAAGGAAGTTCTGAAAGGTGTTCAGGAGGACTTTTTGTTTTGTTTTTGGTCCAAAAGAAGGCAGCTTTGTTGGATCTGGTGATGATAAAAGGAAATAGGCTGAATGGCCAAAGTACTTGTGGGGTAATACTTTGACCATAATTGGTGATCATTGTGTAAGAAGTTGTTAATTTTTATTTAACAGGAAGAGCGAGGAATAATTGAAATTAGTCCCCTTCCTGTTTACTTCTAAATGTGATGAGGGATCCAGTATGAGAGTGCAGTCAAAGCAGAGGTTGTCTGGAAAAACTATAGAAAAGTGATTTCTGACAAAGATATTTTGGTATATTCCAAGGAAGCAAAGAATCATAGAGCCCCTACAGTGTGGAAGCAGGCCATTCAGCCCATCAATTTCACACAACAGTCCAAAGAGGAGCCAAAGAGAAATTTTTGAGGGTGTCCTTGAAGTTTTTCCTCTGCTTCCAAGCTCACTGAGGGTGAGCTGCATCTTAGCAAAAAGGAAGATCATGAAGTGTTTGGTGCAATGATACTGCTTCAGTTCACCCCAGAATTGGGTCTGGGGTATATGCATTGCTTTGGATCATGGCTTGTATATCATCCTGGAGCAGGTGGTAGACAGTGCCAAACTCTGGAGGCAGCTGAAATGGAGGAGGATGCTCCATAATCTCCCACAGTTGACCATGTTGAAGGTCTTTGAAGTCCAAGAAAGCCATGTAAAGGTTTGGTGTAGCTCCCTGCATTTCTCTTGTAGCTGTGCAGGGAAGATCATCTGTTTTTTTTTTCCCCCCTTAGAATAGAATCTGCATTGAGATCTTGGAAGGAGCTCTTCAGCCACAGGGAGAAGGTTTGAGGAGGCTTCTTGTGAAATTTTCCAGCTGCTGACAGCAGGGAGGTTCCTTTTGTAGTTACTGCTGTTGAACCCGTCACTTTACATTCTTTTGAAAATGGATGACGTTTGCAATCTCCTGGCTTGCGCTCTCCTTCGGATAAGGGAAATGAGTGTTAATTATATTTTTAGTGCTTGTGTAGGGATCCCATTTGCTCCTAATGCTTTTTGTTCAGCTGCCTGCTCTACCTTGTGCTGGTATGGGGTTGTGCTAAAATGCTGATGATGCTGCAGGATGGAATCAAAGACACTCTTGAGATCTGAAGTGCTCCCTCCATGAGCTCTGACTGCCTCTCTGTTCTTGAGCAGCAGTGGAATGGGTTTTTTTTTTTGGTACATAGACTGTAGATGGTCTTGATAGCACTTAAGAAAGTATGTACATCTTGGTTGTCAGCCAACTGCTAAAATCAAAAGAAAAATTGGAGAGCACAAGGGTAATTTAAACTTGCAGGGTAAAATGGGAGAAAGGGACAACTGGATTGCTTCACTGGGTTGGTATTAACTCACCAAATTTTAAAGCTTTCCAACTGGTTATACAATACCCACAATTTCTGTAACTTGTATCTAGGAAGTAGCTTGTTATGGGAAGAAGGGGAAAAGACAGAATATTGACCGAAGGGTAACTGCCCTCCAGAACCCAGCTCTGGGTATATAAAAGCCACTGTTTGCACAAAACATGCAGTTAGAGGAAAGTGGGCAGGATGCAAAGCATGTTTCTTTTCGAGCATTTGGTGCTTTTTCAGTTCATGTGGGCAAGAAAGGAAACAGAAATAGCATCTGATTAAGTGGAGGTAGACGAAATTGAAAGACTGGTACGAGTGGAGCATGTGTAGATAAATGATGCTGGTACTGGGATCAATTAAAGGGAGCCAATTTTATGGACGGATGTGAAATACAAGGGCTGGCAAGGCATTCACTTCTTCCAGAGGAGACTAGAACATCGGGACATGGAGGTCCAGAGGCTGCAATGGAAACTTGCATCCTGAAAACTTTGGGTGTCCATACTGCCTACCTGTTGGTGGTTAAACGACTGATTTTTAATTTGAATGAAGCCTGCTGCCATCCAAAATACTGATCCAACGCAGGAGATTCTGAGCTGGGCAATATCTATAGAGCTGGGTAGCTTATGGTAGGAGAATAAAACTATCAGCTAACTTGTTTTCTAATTTTAGAACCATTCTATTATCTTTATCTTTTCTGTATCTGATTTTCAGAGTATTTGACGTTAATGTGAAAGCACTGTTGCATATTTCACAGGTAAGGTTTTGAAGTCTGGATGTAGTTTTTAAAGATGTCAATTCTCTTGCAAATAAATGTATAATTTTCAATGAGATTATTGTTTTTAAGCAAAGTAACCCTCTGGTTGAGGCTGCAGGGAATAGGCAGCTGAAAGTTTGAGAGGATGTAAAGATGTGAGGCTGAAAGTATGCTGAGGATGATGCCAGAGATTTAGAGGGGCTGAGGTGCTATTGCAGAACATGTGCCCCTGAGTTCAGACAGGACCTGCATATAACACTTCCATTGAGCAGAGAACTAGTGAAACTTGCCTGTTAGTAAGCAGAGTTTTGAATCTTGGGTGAATTACATTTAACCAGTGAAGCTGTTCACTGGTGCTTTAACACTATTGCTGATTTGGATAACCTGCACCACTGCAATCATGTGAATCCTCCAGTGTCATCCCAAAGTTGGAAATTTTGCTTTGTCCTTGGTGCATTAGTTATGAAACTGATGTAGACACCAGCAGTTGGAGTGTGATCAAGTGAGGAATAGATGATATACATATTAATTTCTGATTGAGTATTTAAAACACTTATCAGTAATTGGGATTATTTCTTTTTCTTCCTATTGAAGCACCTGGACAAAAGGAGCCTTTGAAACTCATGGTTTTCTACCCATTTTTTTCCCCCTAAGAATAGAAAAACTTCACAAAACTGCAATTTCTTTATCTGCATGAGTGACTTACAGAACCCTCCAATCACCACTGTTTAAATGAATAGTACAGTATTTCATTCTTGGCCTTGCAAGGTGTGTTTAAAGAGATATGGACCAAATGCAGGCAAAAGTGGGACTAGTTTATTTTGGAAACTTGGTCGGCATGGATGAGTTGGCCCGAAGGGTCTGTTTTCCTAAACTACGTTTAGTTGGTTTTTTTTTCGGCTTTTCTGAACTGTATTGCCACAGATAGTGGCTGATGTTCAGGATTAGGACCATTCCTTCTGTGTACTTGAACAGTAGGTGTCAGAGAGTTCTCTGCAGGGCTTCGGTATAGCCTCATTCTGTCTTTATCGAATGCCCTTTCACACAGGAGTTACTAGATCCCAGCCAGGGATGAAAAACCAAACTAATTTCTTGTCCCTTGCCATTTCACCAAGACCACTAGTTGCTGAGACAAAAATTGAAATTGCTGGAAAATTTCAGCAGGTCTGGTAGCATATGTGGAGAGAAATCAGAGTTAACGTTTCGGGTCCGGTGACCATTCCTCAGAAGAGTCTGTTGTGAGGAAAGGTCACCAGACCTGAAACATTAACTCTGATTTCTCTCCACAGATGCTGCCAGACCTGCTGAGCTTTTCCAGCAATTTCAATTTTTGTCTCTGATTTACAGCATCCACAGTTCTTTTATTTTTATTTTCCACCAGTTACTGCAGTGGAGGTAAGCTAAGATCATCTTGTCTCTGAACTTGGGGTAGTCAAAATCTTACTGTAAGATATAGGAGTAGAATTAAGCCACTTGGCCCATCAAGTCTGCGCCATCATTCAATTATGGCTGTGTTGCTCAACTCCTATTCTCCTACCTTCTCTGTATAGCCAAAATATTCCAAATGCGGTCTGACCAGAGCCTTGGACAGCCTCAGTGGTATGTCCCTGCTCGAGTATTCTAGACATGTTGAAATGAATGCTAACATTTCATTGACCTCCTAACTGCCAGTTGAACCTGCACTTAACCTTACATTTTCCAGGTCAATTTGAATTTGGCCTCTCTCAGAAATGAGAGGTGAATCTTCTCTAACCAGGCTGAGGATCTGCCTCAAATTCTGTTTTGAAACTTAGTGTTCTGAGTTGAACAGGCTGGCTAGGTGATGGGAGGGAACCTACTTTGCATATCTCATCTCCCTTATAAGCCATGAGTGATCAGGAGGTCCCCATGAGAGTTGCCAATATAAACCTGTCAGCTGTGACACCACTGTGGAGCATATTTTGTTCAATGGTACTATTACCATCTACATCTCGTGACTCCTAACATGAGCGATATTTCTGCACAACTTCTGTACATTGCTATTTCAGCAATTTCGGAAGTAATTGAAGTTTTCTTTGTTTTCAAAAGATAATTGCAAAGGGGATGATGTGTCGTGGAGAAGGTGGTTCTATTGTGAACATCTCCAGTCAGGCATCCAAGTGTGCTTTGAGAGATCATGCTGTATACTGTGAGTGCTATCCCTTGCTTTATCCATGTCTTTGTGAACTAAGTCTTTTAGTGCTTATTTTGGAATTGGTAGCACAATAAGTCACAATTTATGGCAGCTATTTCTTCTATACGGTTGCAAATCTCAGGAAAATGCAAAACTCTTCACTTTGTAAAGAGCCTGAACTTTTTCTTAAGAATCTCCAGTGCATATTTGGAAAGATCAAGTTGGACTGCTTTTAACAATCCAAAAACAACATTGGCTAAACACTAATCCAAAATGCGCATGGGTTATCGCAGTGCCTTTGGAAAGAAACTGATTTAATGTTTCAGGTCTGTTTCCAGCCCTTGCTGTTCTTTTTGTTTTTTGACTAAATACTATTGCAGACAAGTCATAGTCTAAACCAAAGATAAATTCCCCACTTGATGTTTACAATATTAAAATCCCGTGCCACCATGCATTTTACACTAGCTGTGGATACTTTAACTTCATTGGCTTGGTTTCCTTTTTAAAATTCTTTGGGGAAAGTAAATTTTCATTTTTGTATGCCTCCTCGTTGCTTTGTATGTGAAGTGCTTGCGATTTGTGTTTTTTTTTGTCTACTGAAGTAAGTGCCTCACTAGTAGTGGTACTTTTGTGTTAAGTCAGCCTTGATTTTGTATTTGTCTTTGAATGGGACTTGATTACAGAACTTCCTTTTATGGGATTGTGAATGCTACCAAATGAGGCAAGCTGACACTTGAAACAATAGATGATTTAATCAAACATATGTGACTGAGTTTAATGAATTGACAGCTGCTTTTCCAATAGCTACTTAATTGAAAACCTTGCTTTCAGATCAATAAATGCAGCTTGATTTAATTAAATTTTTATGCCTAGCTACAATTATCTATGCCCAAAGTTTAATTTTCTTGAAGCTGGTGTTGACATCTTTTCTGTTTCCCTCCCCTTGCCTCAGTAAATAAGTGTTTCAAAGGGAGTAAGAACTGTTGTAATAAAACCAGTAAGTCTATGCGTATTTATTTAACCTGAAGAAATAATGTATGTACTTCTGATCCTTTATCCCCTGATTTCCTTTTTAATGAGGCAACTGTTGCTTCCTCAACTAAAGCCCAAAGTTTTAATTGACTTCTAAAGTGCATTCAATAATTAAAGCACCTCATTTTTGTGAATGAATTTTACTAGTTAAACATATTTTCCATGGTTAACCAACCACCACCGCCCCCCAAAACTTCCTGATCACGTGTGCACGAGTGTATGTATGCACTGAATAAAAAGCTCCGAAGGACAACTTGGCTGATATTGTGCTGTCCCGTTCTGTCAGTTACTGCCCCAATAATCTAACAATTAAGAATTGATATGGTCGCACCTCTTAACTACAAGACTCCATTAGGAGAGCAAATTGCCTCTTTAAATGCATCTTTTTGCCCTTGCTGTTTAAAGGTGCCTCAAAAGGAGCTGTGGACATGCTAACGAAAGTGATGGCACTTGAGTTGGGACCGCACAAGGTAGGCATTGAAAGATGCAAACTACTGGCTGACTTTTTAGATTCCATAGCCTTCCTAAAAAGGGTTTTTTAAAAAAAAAATCATTATTCATTCATTAGGACATCTATTGACCTTTTTAGTCTGATCTTTAATTGATCAGCTTGATTTGGACCTTCTCTATTGTAGCAATATTCAGTGTTCTACATGTAGCCTGAGGATAGAGGTAGCAGTTGCCCAGTGCATTCAACAGAAGCCTAACAGTACCTGGTACATTTTGAATGGGAGATGAGGAGTGAGTCCTTTAATATCAGCGACAGATAAATTGCACTTCAGAGACAGTGCTAGAAAAACCTGGTTACTACAAATTTGCTTTTCTACCATCTAGTCCCAGCTGCTAATCAATGAATATTTGTATTTGATCTTTTCTACAGAATTAGATGAAAAGGTCCTACAAAGTGTGAAATAATACTGATTTAGAAGTGCTATACATTTTTGCTGCTAAAAATATATTTCTTTTTCCATTTGCTAAACCACAAAATGTAAATCAATATTCAATTTTCCCTCTTGATTAATGCTGAGCACCTATTTCAGCCAAGCAGCAAATGTTTCATGTCCTAAATATGATGAGTTCTAGTCTGCATAATAAGATGCAGGAAGCTTCAATTATCAATGAGTATCATTGTTACAGGAGGTTTACTGGTGTATAGAATAGCATCTCAAATACTTCTGGATATTAATGTTAACAGGAGGTAAGATAATGTACAAAGAACAAAGAAAATTACAGCACAGGAACAGGCTCTTCGGCCCTCCAAGCCTGCGCCGATTCAGATCCTCTATCTAAACCTGTCAACTATTTTCCAAGGATCTGTATCCCTCTGCTCCCTGCCCATTCATGTATCTGTCTAGATACATCTTAAATGACGCTATCGTGCCCGCCTCTACCACCTCCGCTGGCAACGCGTTCCAGGCACCTACCACCCTCTGCGTAAAGAACTTTCCACGCGTATCTCCCTTAAACTTTTCCCCTCTCACCTTGAAATCATGACCCCTAGTAATTGAGTCCCCCACTCTGGGGGGGGGAAAAGCTTCTTACTATCCACCCTGTCTATACCTCATGATTTTGTAGACCTCAATCAGGTCCCCCCTCAACCTCTGTCTTTCTAATGTAAATAATACTAATCTACTCAACCTCTCTTCATAGCTAGTGCCCTCCATACCAGGCAACATCCTGGTGAACCTCCTCTGCACCCTCTCCAAAGCATCCACATCCTTTTGGTAAATGTAATGAAATGTTGTGTTGTGTCATATCACAACATATAAATGAATATAAAGTACTTTAATTTCGTACTCTTCTTTGAAACTGCTTTTTAAGATGTTTTGCTCATTTTGAAGAATTGCTTTCTTACAGCTTTTAAAATGCTAGCACCTCACTCCTATGAGTGTTCTGCTTTTTAAGATTTTTTTTTAAGATTGGGAGAATTTCAGGAAATCAGTGTTCTCTATCTTGATTGACGAGGGAACATGTTTGTTTTCCTGCAAGTTGCTGATTTCTCTTTAGTTACAATTTGATGCTTGGGCTTGTGCCTAAAACCACAATGGCCATGTCATCTGACTGTGGAAAGGGTATCTGTAAAATTCAACTGTCCAAGGCTGAATGTTGTAGGCTATCAAGCTAGTATGGTACTTGAGTCAAATGTATGAAGTTAAACTTGAACCTTGACATCATCTATTCGCTCATAGTGGTGTAAATTCTAAATATCAATGCCCACAATGTGATTGGGAACTGGTTCTTTCATATTGTTCCATTGTTTCAGTATTCCTGTTTGATTCTGAAAGAACACCTGATACTACATTTTTAAGAGATAGTAGGAACTGCAGATGCTGGAGAATCTGAGATAACAAGGTGTAGAGCTGGATGAACACAGCAGGCCAAGCAGCATCAGAGGAACAGGAAGGCTGACGTTTTGATTTTTTAATATTGTATTTCTATTCAAATACAACTACTACTTTTGGATATATAACAGTTGTCCACTAGAGGGTGCTCAATAGCCTCTTAAGTTCATGAAACAAATTTTAGGTTTTCATTATGGTATGGGAAATTAATAGTAAATTGCAGTAATTTTCCACTTTTTATAACAGGCTGAATTTATTTAGTTCAAATTTCTTTTCTCTGGCTAGTTCATCTCCTGCAACTGCAATGAATTTCAGTGTAAACCGGTTTCTTGAATTCTAAGATTTGAAATCCAGAAGTATTTGACTGTCTTTGACCAAAAGAAAACATAACGTTCAAGTATTTTTTTTTTTGTGCTTTCTCAGATCCGAGTGAATGCAGTAAACCCCACAGTAGTGATGACTGCAATGGGTCGGATTGGATGGAGTGACCCAGCAAAAGCAGCAGGAATGTTGTCCCGTATCCCACTGGGTAGATTTGCAGGTGAATGAGCAAGTACAGATGTATTTTTGACTTCCCTCAACACTGGGGGAAAGCCCACACATTCTTAATTGATTTCATCAGAGTTGAATATAACTGTATTGTCCACAGCTATAGAACTATTTTGTTGTATATTTTGTACTTGATTGTCTATTGACTCTCATGTTGCCACTCTTACTATTTCATTACCATAAAAATAGCCTTGCTGCATATATTTTTAAAGCACTGACTTGTATTCCCTTAGCTTAAAAAAAGGATTGGAATTTATTAACCTAACATGACCCTAATGCCAGCGAGAGAGTTAATTGCCAATAAACACACAGATGACTTTTTAAAATGTTTTGAGATGGACCAATGTCCAAACAATCCTGGATCTGCAGCCATTGAATCTTAATAGGAGTGTCCCCTTGGCAGAAATATTTTCTGCCAGACCAGTTCCTGAAGTTCTACGGATCCCAGGAAGTAAGTTTGTATTTCACTAGTAGATGAACAAAAGTCTCAATCCCTTTTATTGCCTTTAATGCTTAAATGGAGGTGCTTATTCAGGTATTGAATGTTTTATAAAACTTCATATGTAGTGTTTTTTTTTAAATGGGGAGGAACACAAGTGAAATGGCACACTTCCACCACCATTGCCCCTAATGTTGGGAAGGGGGTGGAATTTCTTTTCCCTCTGAGCATTTGCAATTGCTGCTATACCATAGTTGAGTAACTTTGCTCAACAGGTGTCAGATTTCATGTCGCCTTCTTATCTTTCTGTGTCATAGTTTTGTTAGTTAGTTATGGAAATATCTGGCACCAGTTTTGGGTTTCGTCACTTTCATTTTCATTTCATACCGACTAGATACGTATTTAGTCTCTAAATCAATGTTCTGGATTGTTGTGTACGATATTTAACAGTTTAATTTTTAACTTTGTTTTGTAGAGGTAGAAGATGTGGTGAATACAATAATCTTCCTCCTCAGTGACAAGAGTGCAATGATAAATGGAGTGACTCTACCTGTGGATGGAGGATTCCTTTCTTCATGAATTAGTCTTTTTTAGTAGAATTGGTAAAATAGTCCCCACAATGTTGCTAAAGATGTGTGTCCTGTAATAGCTGGTTCATTAAAAATCCTTATCAGATCAGGTCATCAGTGAGGTCCTTCATTTTATTAGCTTCTGTGTTACATAAACGTCACAAATTCAGCTTGTATCTTGACTGCAGTCCACTGTTACCCTCTTCAGTCAGTAGTAGTTGGTAGTAGAGAAAGTGGAAATTCCCTCGCTTCTTTTGGAAGTATAATTTCAGGTGTCAAAAGAGCAAATCTTGATCGATAACTTCTTTAATCCTGACCATAATGGTTGTTCAAGGTCAAACCATACTGTAGCAAACCTTCCATAGAGAAAATTGCTAAAAGAGGTTTCAAACTTGGCTCAACAGCCCTGACCCTGAGTGCTGGTTCTTTTGTTAAAGATCAAACCAACCATTTTTGACAAATTTTGATTTTTAAGTGGGGAAATTTGGTGTTGGCTTGATGTATGTCGACCACATGTCCCAGTGGCTTGGCTGACCTACTCAAACAGCAGGTTCCTTTGGTTGTTCAAAGACCATCGCTGCAAAAACTCAAAGCAAAATGTCTGCTGTTGGATGTTCTGAAATTGTTCTGTATTTGCTGAACAACAGTGTGCTAACAGCTAAACAAATACCAGGTGATCTTGTACTGTGACTCATCTGTGCTTGCAAGAAGTTACAAGGGCAGCCGCAAACCAAATGATAATGTTTCAAGCTTTGTCATTTTTAACTACCAGGAAGGTAATCTTTGATTTGGTTGGGGGGGTGGTGAAGACTTGGCAGAAAGGTGATCTTTGATTTTTAGGTGGGGAGCAAAAGAAGGTCATGTTGGAGGCAGCCAGTGTAAGGTGGCATCATCGGAACAAGTATGACAGTGATGGAGAAACTGGGAGAATGGTACAGAATCTTGCAGCAGCTAGAGTGAGACAAAGTGTAATCAAGGTAACTGCATGAGTCAATGGGTTTGTATTAGATGTTGGTGAACAGAACAGAATAGAAATGGAAACGGAAGTCAAGGAAGAGTCTGAAATGGACAAGTGAAGGTGACAGAAGGATGGAAATTGTTAGTAAAAATGAATTTTTCCAATCCTAGATGATGGCAGAAAGCTACATCAACAATCAATAATGCATCAGAAAAAAAAATTGTGGGTGGGACATGCGAGTATCCATAACTACATATTTGACTTGGAGGAGTTACATGAGCTAAAGGAGAGGTTGTTCAATGAGAATGAGCTCAGCCACTGATAGAGGACAGTGGTAGATGTACAGGCCTCTTCCATGAAGAAACGTAGAGCCTTTGCCTGATGGGTGGACATTTAGAAGGATTATACATCAATGGTTAAGGGAAGGTTACTAGGGCCAGAAAACTGGAAATTGTGGAACTGACATAAAGCATCAGAAACCTTTTGTGATTCTTATGACTGTGTTTCCTTCTTTCTGTTTCCATTTCTATGGACAGGCTGTCCATTAACATCCATTACAAGCCTGCCAACTGTCACAATTACCTGGACTACAATTTTTCCTCAACTATGGCCTGCAAGGATTCTGTTTTGTTCTCCGAGTTTTTCTGTCCCTTTCACTTCTGTTCTGATATCTCCTTCCACTGGGCTGCCTCTGGCATAACTTCCTTTTCCTCAAACAGAGGTTTACCCCCCCACTCCTCCAACTGTATCCAACCCACTTCAAACACTTCTGCCTGCATCTATTCTCCTCCTTTCCAGAACAATAGTAGACTTCCTCCTGTCCACACTTTCCACCCCTCTGGTCTTTGCATTCAAAGGATCATCTTCTGTCATTTCCACCAGAATACAATCACCAAACATCTTCCCCTCCAGTGTCAGCATTAAATAGTTCTGATGCTGCCAGATCTGTTGAATTTCTCTTTTTTTGCTCATTCAGTTTGGTAAAGTTTGAATGCAAAGACTGGAAAAACGTCATACACTTAAATCTGCTGCAACAATAAAGACTGGCATTTGTACATTCCAATGTGCTTTAAACACAATTAGTACTTTAAATACAAGGTCTTAAACAGAGATGTGGTGATAACTGGATGAAGTTTGTAGTGTTGAATTACAGAATAAATATTGGCCAGACTTTGTTAATTGGCCTTTGTTTAATGTTTCACCTGAAAAAAAACAACAGCTCAGTTTTGTTTATTGTGCTTAAATGCTGAAACAAGATTTTTATCTTTCTGAATCAATGTGGATATGTTATGAACTGAACCACAGATGATACAATTATGTATTTCTACTTGCTATCTACTGTGCATATAATCACTGATAGGTTTTTTTTCCCCCCAGCAGGAATAAAATATTGACCTCTTTTGCATTTTAAGCAATTCCATTTGTTTCAGTGGCTTTACTTAAGTAGTCACCAGGTGGCAGTATGAACTTGGGAGAAACTGCACAAGAAATTTGAAGTGAACTTGGCTTCCCAAAACTGTTACTGAAATATTGGGCAGTCTAGGTAATCATCAAGGTAATAATCTTTGATTTGGAATACACTTTGCTCTGCATCTTCCTGTTCACTTGGTAAAATAATGCCAACCAGAGAATTTAAAGGAAATAATGGTAAATGAAGCAGCTGGACTTGAGGTTTTGATCTTACATTTTGAAAATGTGCAATTCAATTTTTATTACTTAGTTTTTAGACTTCCTAACAATTGGCTAAATATCCTTTTGAGAGTTCAGTGCTGACATCCAGTCACACAAACCATATCCACTTTGTTTATGCTGACAACAAAGAAACCAAAACATCAATTAATATAAAGTAGCGTACACAACAGCAATATTCCTTCCACTAGCACATTAAGTAGGTTGCTTTGATGCTGGTTTTAAGAGCTTGTATCCAAATCCAAATAATTTATTTGCCAATCTCCTTTTGAACTTTACCTGTTAACTACCTATTACTTCTCATTGCACATCCAGTCTTAAAAACTGCCCTCCTTTCAATCACTACAAGTTTGGCTGCTTTTATCTTTAGCAGTTTTACATCCATCTTTTACTTACCTCTATTACTACTGTGTCCACAGCTGTTTTATTGCCCATCACTGATTTTCTTGGTCTCTTTCTGATTCAAATTTTGAGTTACTGCAGTAGATTTCCTATACATTAGTTATATTTCCTGCATTTATTCTCTCATCTGCAATTACTAACTGCTTTCTTCAGTACTCGTGCTGCAATTTTGGATTGCACAGTTGTTTTCTCTTTGGAATGTGCTTTATTTATGCACATTTTAAATATGAACTACTGATGATCAATGACTATTTGCCACATTTCCCTTGCATTCAATCTAAATAACGTCATTTTGACACATTTACAGCTTAGTTATCTGTCCTTTTTTTTGGTTTCTTTTTAATGCTTAATCTGGCCTTGTGCAATGCTCATCAACATCACTACTTTCACAAATACTTCCCCTTATCAACTTTTAGGTCACCTACTTAATTCATTTGGTTAAATAGAATCAGGTTAAACAAACAATACTGCAATTGCTTTTTTTGAACAGTCATGAACACGGAGCAAAAGATAAGTCTCCAATTTCATCACAAATATCCCAATCTACTATTAGCTAATTTAAATCTTCCACAATAATATGTCTATTGTTGGTAAGTGATGAAATTTGTAAACAAATGAAGCTTCAATTTCCTTTCCATTGGTCAGTAAATAATCATATGTTCCTAGTAAAGCAACTTCTATGTTAGATTGATTGAGAAATAGCAAAAGTTTTCTGTTACTTAGACTACGTTTATAATTTAATTCTTATATCTAAAGGTATTTTTTAATGTTGATATTCCTCTCCATTTCTCTACCTTTTTTGACCCTTTAAATAACTGTGGGTGTAGAAGTCATCAAACATTCTACTTTCAATAAAACTAGCTTTACATTTTTTTTTTATTGTAGGTGACAAGTGGAGCCTCAAAAACAGATCCACTCACTCGGAGTGGACTGTAGGTGCGGGTGGTTGCCATTTTTAAGCAAGGTGCCTCCAAGTAACAATAATTCATTAAACAGACATGGCACAATTTATTACATGCATTAATTATACAAAGATAACCTTTAATTACAACTAAACCATTTTTAAAACAGACCACTCTATCTTCAGCATTTTGGCTATGGTAACATAAGGATCCCACCGAATCAGATATGAAACTATTGTTTTCAGCCAAATTATCTCCCTCTCCATCCACTGAAATAAATATCCAGGATTTTTTTGAATGATCTGATGCCACTTGATGGGCTACTGTTAGTGCACGATGTGCTAATGAAATGATACAAAACATAAGTGGTGATGGGGGTGTTGGTCAGCATGATTATTCCCACATTTTATGAAGTTGTCTTTCCCCTGAGGTTGTAGATATGCTCGCTGAGCCGGTGGGTTTGGTTGCAATCATTTGTCACCCTGCTAGGTAACGTTGTCAGTGCGCCTCCGGTGAAGTGCTGGTGTTCTGTCCTGCTTGTTATTTATATGCCAGTTTTCCTGAGGTGGTTGGTATTACTTATTGCTCTGTACACAGGGTTTAATTCAATGCGTTTGTTTGTTGATGGAGTTCTGGTTGGAATACCAGGCCTCCAGCAATTCCCTTGCGTTTCTCTCGCTTGTGCGATTATGGATGTGTTGTCCCAGTCGAATTTGTGTCCCTCATTGTCCACGTGTAGTGAGAATTGGTCGTGGCTTAGTGGCTCGTTGGTGTGCGTGTATCTGTTTTGACAACATCTAGGCAACATTTCACCTTGTATTAAGAGTAGACACACTCTCCTCACCTCTACCTTGCAGCATTTTTGTCCTTGTTTGGACCAAGGCCGTAAGCTCAAGAACTAATTAGTCCTGGCAGATCTTAAACTGAACATCAGTGAGCAAGTTATTCCTTTGCAGATGCTGCTTGATAATGCTATCATCTAATTGGCTAGGTTGGATTTTTCCTGCTTTTTGTCAATAATACAGATCTGGGCAAACTTCCAATTTCCCAGGTTGATATAGCATTGTAGCTGTACTGGGACAGCTTGGCTAGAGCTGTAGCTAGTTGTACAATGCATTTGGAGCAGCATTGCTGGAATACCCAAAGCCTTTGCAGTATCCAGTATCTTTAGCCGTTTTGTGATTAACACATGGATTTAATCAAACTGGCTGGGGCAGAGACAGATCACTGCTTGACTTTTTTCCCTTCTCAAAAAGGATGTGAATACTTCAACCTGTCTTTTGACTGCTGCATTGTCAAGGGTGGGTATATTTGTGGAGCCACTCTCCTGTTAATTGTTTAATTGTCCACCACCACTGACAACTGAACATAGTAGGGCTACAGAACTTAAAATGGAAGGATCCATCTTCAGCAGGTGATTTAGTGAGAATGAGGTCAACTATCTTTCCCTCTTGTTCCCTCACTACCTGCTGCAAACCCAGTCACTAGCAGTAGTCATTAGGTAGCATTGCAACCAAGCCACGGTTGGTGATGGACATTAGAAACATTCTACACCCTTTCCATCTGCCATGCTCCCTCCAAGTAGTGCTCAATGTGGAAGAGTGCAGTAAATGGTAATCACCACAGGTTTTCTTGCCTTAGGATCCAATACCATACCTTACCAGGTCTAATTCAATGTTGAGGGCTTCCAGTGCAACGCTCGCTGCTTATATACTACTGTTTTACTACCTCTGGTCGATGTCCTGTCCCAGTGGCAGGAGACATAATCATCCCTGGATCTGGTAGTATTGGGGCAGTCATATTTACACAATCATTGTTTGCAAGACATGATATAACAGAGTAACTTGCTAGGCTATGTCAGAGGGCAGTTAAGAGTTAACCACAGTGCTGTGGGTCTGGAATCACAGATCAGACCAGCAAAAGGCAGATTTCCTTCCTAAATGCATTAGTAAAGTAAATAGGTTTCTACAGCAATTGGCACTGCTTGCCTGGTCACTCTTAGGTTGGACTTTTGCCATGACAGATAGTGAAATTTGGTTAAAAACTAATCTAAGTCCTACAACATTAACCTGAAACTGTGCATATTACCACTAAATCAACTCTTTACATCTATGCTGCTGAAATGAGTACCCACTCAATTATACCTTTGCTACTGTCTAACGAAGAATTGCTTAAAAACTTAATTTTGGAAGAAGTCATTGGGTGGTCTCCGAGCAAAGTGGTCTTCTTTTGCAACACTGGACAGTTTTTTCATCTAGTTGATGGTCTGAAATCTTGGTTGGACTCTGGAGTTAGCCCACGTAAGTGCATTTATATGTACTGCATTTCTGGTGAAAACAAAGCCATTCCGATTGTCAAAGGCTTACTCTAAAACATGCTTTTTATGATCAGGCCAGAACTGGCCCCTGGTCTGATAAGACGTTGTCCAAGACCATTGTTTTTGAACCAGCTTTTCAATAATAATTCCCTCGCTACAACATAGTTCTTTGTCAACTAGACAAATGTTATGACTTTTGAATTGAAAGCAGCTTTATACTTTCACTTTGTTGAAGGACGTGACAGTCACTTGCTAGGTTGTGTGTGGACATTTTAAACTGCTGGGTATCTTCTTCACAATATCTGTATTATCCTGCTTCATGGACTGACTTAAAATGAGAAATGCATTTCTGGGATGAAATAGAGGCCAAAGACTAATACAAGTAAAGCATTTCATTGCAAACAGAAAAGAGCAGCATGATTTTTGGCACTGAATAAATAGTGCATTTTGTTTACATACACTCTTGTCCTTCCTATACATCTAAAGCTTACTTTCCTGTCCAAGTATTTCCTCCTCCTGCAGGATGTGGGTATTACACATAGGGCTAGCATTTGTTGCCCATCCTCAATTTTCCTTAAAAACAAAGTAACTTGCTAGATTAACCACATTTGGCCAGATCAGATAAGGATGGTAGATCTTTTTCCCTAAAGATCACTGGATGGGTTTCTACTACAATCGGATACTTTGGTCACCATTGCTGAGACCAGCTTTCTATTAAGATTCATTTAAGTAATTCAACTTAAATTCTCCACTTCTTCTGCAATGAAGACAATTTCTCCTTTCTCAAAAGTCACTACAGAAAATACCAAACAAATTGATCCCACGCCTGGTAAGAATGTGATACTTGGCCTTTCCTTCTCCTTGAACTGCTCCAGTCTTTATGGTGACAGTGTACCTATTAATATGTTGGGCAGCAATTTCACAATGAAGGAATTGTGATATGCTTCTGTATGAGAACAGTAGGTGATTTAAAGGGACATATTCTGACAACGTTGCTGCTCATCCCTTTTAGCATTAGATATCAGGGAATTAAAGTGCTCCTTCTTAGCTATAAACTTTGTGAGATGCTACAATGCCTCTGGTAGCTATTATACATAGTACAGCCACTGAAAATAGCATTAAAATTGAACAAGTAGCAGATATTTCAATTCAAGCTGAACGACAGAATCTCTTTTTCAGGAATCATTTGAGCAGCTCAAGTACTGTTGGGACAACACACTGTAAAGAGTTGCAGTCTGAGAGCTTTACAGAAGATTTATCAACTATGTCACACACACAAGATTCTCTAATGCGCAAATGGAAATGTCACCGAATACTTTACTGAGAATCATTGCACTGATTCAAGCACTAGGAAGAAACTACTTTTAGTGTGTTATGTCTAACACAAGTGAGGGACTATTATACAAGTTTTAAGAAAGAAAACAATAACATTAAGGTAATGAGGATACTACAATATTTAATGAAATTCAATTCTTAAAACATAATTTGGTTCAGAAGTTGCACCTTGAGAATGTGCCAAGTTAGAAATCTTCGCAAAAACGTGTACGAATGCATTTTTAAGAAATAATAAACAATAGAACAAAAGTGACAATGAAATTACCAGAAGAGTCAGCTCTCTCCCAGGGTTAAGGCTAGGATGTCAATTAGAATAAAACATTGGGACTCAAATCATGCAGGCCAGTCCTATAAATGAAGATGCCAAGTTGGCAAAAGTTTTTTGTTAGTACCAGCTAGAACAAGTAAATCCTGCATCACTAGTTGGACACTGTATCTGGCAATTTCAAAAATTTACTGTAATATTTAGAATGGAGAAACCCTGATCAATTATTTGTTGAAACACAAGTCTGCTAGTGCTGTAATAAAGTTAATGAACACAACAGTTAAACACTGACTTTACATAACCAGCAGAAAGCCTTTTTACACAAGTCTTTCACATACACAAGCCTTCCCCACCCCCCCACTTTAAACTTGCACTTTTGCCCATGCTGCATTCAGTGATCCCATATTATCTAGCTGCTTATTGAAAGGTCAAAAAGTATCTCCACAATAATTAACACTGCAGTACCCCTCATTTTGATTTTCTGCATCAAGACATGGTTACAAAAAAGGCCAAGATCTAAGTTCATACAAAGAAAGGTCCATTTTAGACAAAAGTCTTTTGGAATTTCAATATGCCTAACTTAGAAAAAGATCATGTTAAATATTTATGTTTATTCAAAATAACCCATTTAAGAAAAATGCAAATGATTGCATGTCTTGACTAGCACTAAAAGTTACTGCTGGTTTAAGACTGATGAATGATTCAAGCATGCAAAGAGTGGATGTAAAAAAGTCCTTAAACAGGTGATGAACAGCCTTTGTTCATTTCTTAGGTTTCACACTTTTCAGTTGGTGAAATGATAAATAAGGAATAACAACATGGATAGCAAATCGCAGAATGTACCAATGTTCAAACACTGTAGTGAGTCAGTTATGTAACCTATTAAAATTAAAGGAGCAACTCCACAAAGTTGAAAGGATCCATTAATACTGTTTCCACAAGGGAAGTGTCACTGTGGACGTCACTGGTCTTGAGCTGGATAGGAGCTACCAAAAGAGGGGATACTGCAGCTCAACAAAATATGATGGGGTCCACCCATGAAGACAGCCACATTGCCTCACATAAAATCCAACACACGCTAACAGAATAATTACTGACTTCAGGACTTAACTCTCAAGGCTAACTGTTCCAACTCAAGAGAGAGGCGACACAAAGAAGAACACTCTCTTCTGCAGTCTCATACCACACAGGGTCATGATTTGGATAAAATACCAGCAGATTGTTATGAAGGTATGATTTCCTGCATGGTGTCTTCCTAGAAAACAGTGCACTTCTTTCTACGTTTTTTCACAGGTGGTGGGCACAGCACAGCTCGAATTGCTTCATCAAAGACGGTTTTCAAACCTCGCTGAGTAAGAGCAGAGCACTCCAGGTACTTAACAGCACCTGCACAGAAAAGACAGCTTTGAAAATACAAAATTGTAGAAAATATTCAAGTTCATTACATCATTGTTTTATTGCTGAGCCAATTTCACCAGTTTCTAGGCTGTCACTAAATATAATCAAGAAAGCTCACAATCTAAATGAACTGCAGTTGCTTTACTCATAGTAATAGTTTTGTATATTTGTGTAAAACATTGCACATGTTTCGGAAGTTCTGATTCCCATTTGCTTCTCTGTGATTCTCAGTTGGAAGGCCACCAGAATTGCAACAGACATCAATCACTACCTCCATGGTCTGAGTTTGCATGTCAATGTAATTAAAAGCCTGCAGAAGACAGCATCCCCCACAATCTGATTGAGACCAACTAGTAGGCTTACTCTCATAATACACCAAGTGATCATGTAGACTGATTTTTAAAAAAAATTTAGTTCAATCAATTTTTTTTGATTGAGCCCAAGTATCTGAGCCTAGAACCTGCCACAGAGAAAACCAGTATAACAAGGATAGGAGCTGACAGACTGGATGTTTGGGCAGTAGAGTTCTGGACAAGTTATACATTGGAAATGTTGGTGGTTAGCAGGGGGCCAGGAGCGGTTGTTTGGGGGCCGTGGTTTGGGGTTGGGGGTGTACCTTTTCACATAATCCATTACATTATCCCAAAAAGTGTGTGTAAAAAATATGACATTTACTTTATTGTAGGCATCTCTTGTAAGTACTCAAAAAGAGTAATGTGAATTTTGTAGTCAGTTGGCATATGTGCTTATTCTCAATTTGTGAGATGCACCAAGAGTTGCAGAAGCATACACATTGGACTAGCCAGTAAAATAACTTGCCAACACAGCCAAAAAAACTGTAAACCAAATATTAATAGACTGGTGCTGAGCTTGACAATTTACAGGCTAATGTCAGACTGTTGCTATTTTATTCAAATCCTCATGTGGACTGATGTTAATAGTGCTAAAGGGGTGCTACAAATGGTCATAGCACTTTTTGAGCTTCATTTTTAATTGGGGGAGGGGGAGCTTTAGAGTGGTTAATAGTCACATAAACAAGGAAGCTCAAAATAGGCAGAGTTTCCCAAGGGATTGGAAGTGGAGGATTTCTTCGCTTTCTCACGAGCTAACAATAAAAGTCAACAGTGCCCTCAGCACAGAATGGAGGATAGACTGTAATTCTCCCAGCTGCTAATACAAAGGCCCCTTTCAGTTTCTGCAGGGCCCTCCTCCAGCAGCATGCAGAGCCTTTATTTTCACAGCAGAAACCTAATACAAATAATTATAGGCATTCACAGATTATGAAAGTACAGTACTCTATATCTTCATTTCCCCACCCACATTACTCTGAGAATGTATAACAAAAGATTATTACACTTCATAGGGTTTTAGAAATAGCTTCAGAACATTTTTATACAGTTATCTATTTAATCAAATAAACATTCTTCCTGTAATACCGAGGGAAAACAATACATAACTTGTCCGAAACGTTATTCTGTCCCACAGATCAGTCGTTGCTAACCTTCTTTCTTATATAGTAGGTTCTAAGCTCAGAAACCTTTTTGTGCCATAATTCAGGGAAGTGTTGATCATGAACCAGACAGACTTGATTTGCAATGAAACCTGCAGGGAAGACAAACTACTGGGTGCTGGCAGTATTCTCACCTGACATGTGATAACTCTACAAACCAGGGTCTTAATGAATAGCTCTGGCTAGAAAGGTGAGAAATTCATCATGGAGGTGCACCTGTGCACAAACAGAAGCTCTATTCGGTAGTTTGAGTCAGTAAATTTGTTTGGGAACACAAACATGGTTGTAGATTTTTATTAGTTGGCCACTATCAGCACAAGTCCCATCCTACCATTATCATCAAAAAAAAAAATCTGTTCATGGGATCTGACCTCCAAATTTGTGTACATCTGTTGTTTCAGAGCCAATTTTACTTGTTAATTACCATGACAGGTCTGTAAAAAAAATGTCCAAAGTCCAGCAAAATAAACTACAAAGTATGATTTAGAAAAATCTTGTGGTTCTGTATTAATGCTTGAAATTTGTGGGACGTGGTTCGAGTTTGTCATACATTCTTTTTTATTCATTCAGAGATGGGACTTCACTGACTAGGCCAGCACTTTTTGCCTATGCCAAGTGCTCGAGAAGGTGGTGGTGAGCTGCCTTCTTGGACTGCTGCTGTCCATTTAGTTTAAGTTTATCCATTAGGAAGTTTCAGCATTTTGACAGTGATGGAATGGCAATATAGTTGGCACATGGCTTGGTGGGAACTTGCAGGTAGTGTTCCCATACATATGCTTCCTTTGTCCTTCTAGATGGTAGTTGTGGTGGTTTTGGAAGATGGCATCCAAGGAGGCTTGGCGAGTTTCCGCAGTGCATCCTGTAGATAGGACACACTGCTGATGCTGAGTGTTGGCGGTGTAGACAGTAAATGTTCATGAATGTAGTGTCAGTTAAATAGGCTACTTTGTCCTTGATTTTGAGAGTTGTTAGAGGTCTAATCTGACCTGGAAGTGGCAAGGTTTCAGAAAAGCATTCAAACCAATAAGAGAAGATGGGAGAAATGGGCCAAAAAGTCCCAGATGGAATTCAGTATCAGTAAGCATGTGGTAATAAAATGATTATATTGTAAAGGCAGAAGATTTGGTGCTTGGAACAATTGAAGAATTTGAGAATCCAAGTGTCTGAAAGCAGCATCTTTGCTTCAGAATGCTGTAAAATGAAATAATTCTAGTGATACCAATACTTCTCTTGGCTGTTATGTTCCATAAACTGATATGCAGTCTTTTAGGATCTGAATTAGTACTGGGTGAAAAGGATGGGGAAAACACTGGGTGTTGATGCATTGGTATTCAGATCCAGGGTTGCTGGCTGAAATAAAAATTATAATAGCATTGAAGATTGGAAGTGAATGAGGAAATATAAAAGTACACAGTACTATTTGTTCTGTTCATGTAAAGGATAAGTGGGATATAAATTGGTTTGTACCAAATAGCCTGTTTCTATGTTATAACTTCTGTCGTAGCCATTTACAGTGAAGCTTTACACACAAGGCTGTTTCACAGCAACTCTCATTGTAGCTGTACATGGACCCACTTTCTGGTTTTGATTACAGCCCTTGTTTAGAGGGCGCAATGAATATTGTATCTGATTCATTAAGCTGGAGGATAGTCATACAACAAAAGAGCTGCAGACTTGCATCTAAATACATTACACAAAAACAAAACCATGCACCACCCGAGAAAATAGCAAATTACATAACAGCTCAGTGGAATGTCCCTATTTGTGTTACGTACACAGAAGTACTTCTGTGGTAAAAGATTTCCTAGTCAGCCATGTCTCAATAGTAAAACAAGAATGATCAACAATCAGCAACCTTTATTAAATTGTTCTCAAAAACCTATTTACGTGGACTTGGTAACTAAGTTCAGGTGAAAGAAAACTTTTTATTTGAAAGTAAAACTGACCGTGGTAATGGTGGAAATTTTGGTTTTAAATTAATTCTTGGCACTGGATAATGAAGCTGCCTTTACGTATCTCTCGAATTTTAAATACCAGGGATATATCTCTTTACACTAGATTGATTTCCTAATGTGTTAATTCGGAACTTCATTCTAGATTTAATCATGGTGCAAAATATCCCCTGAGGGTTTGATGCAGGCTGGGGTTCACAGTCTGCCAAGTCAAGTTTCTTTTCCACCAGCCCTCACCTTGATCAGCACCTTTTTAATAAAAGTCATTATTTTTAAGAATTTTCTGTTGAAACTGAAGCCATGAAATGCTTAAATTGTGAAGCAGCATACAGCGGTACAATTTAAAAGACAAAAAGAATGCTGGATATCTGAAGTAAAAGTAGAATGTGTTGAACCTACATGCTCGGCCAATGATCATTTGAAAGAGAAAGTTGTATTAATGTTATGAAGTGACTCATCAGACACTTACACTTAAAATATTAAAGGTACGTCTAAGCCTATCTTTCTCATTCAGCTTCCAAAGGAAATGTTCACTAGATCCATCATTTCTACACTTATTTCAGATTCTATTGAATGCCATTTTGCATCAACATCCTCCAGCAACCATCAAAATTAATTGCCAAAATGTTAACAGCTGATATTTCCACACATCCACAAGGGTCTCTGAAAAGCTTTTTGACAGGTGGTTGCTAGAAGAATACACTTAAATTTTGGTATTAACTGAAATCTTGGCACTGGATAATAGTGCTGCAGCTCTAGAGACTGCAGTCCTTATTTTTGCCACCGTCTGAAATCAAAATATAAACACAACTTCTATTTACAGTGAAAATTTAAAATTAAGTTCAAAGAAGATTTTCCATGACAAAAATATTTATCAAACAGATTCAGTGGGAAATCGCCAGAAATCCCAAGAATTCCTTGATCAACTTACGGGGAAAAAAACAGGTTTAATTGAAGGTGGAAATATTAAGGACAACACTTTAAAATTTTTAAAATGACACAGACTAAATCAGGCATTTCATCCAGTGCAACCAGATTTTAGGATCTCCCCAAAATTGTCTTAATATTAAAGGTAAGGTCTCAGGTCTCTAAGATGTCAGGATTATTTAGCATCAATGTTCTTATCCAATTCTATAACATTGCTGCAACGTTGGCTGCTCAGGGCATACCCAGAAAACTAATCCTCATTTCCAATACAGTGACAGACCAGCTCTGTTTCTCTTCAGGCTAACGGTCAGGTATGTTGCAGCAAGCCATATGCATCGATGCAAAATATCCAGGCAAAACAGAATGGCTAGCAGCACTTGGGAGCGTGGTTTGTTGCTTTATGTTTTGATACCAAACTTTCATTTTAATATGGGCACTATATTCTCTCCTATTGTGTACTCAAAGTGGTCCATACATCCTATAATTTCCCCTAGACCTTATTACCACTCACCTATCTCTCTGGCCATAGCCAACCCCTGCGGATAGGTAATGGGAGCCAGCTTTTTATCTCTTAGCCTTTCAATGGTGTCCTTATCATCCCGCAAATCCAGCTTTGTTCCTACCAGGATTATTGGTGTGTTTGGACAATGATGCCGCACCTCTGGATACCACTGCATGGAATAAAAAAAACAGACAAGTCACAGCACCAAATAAAATGTCCTTTTATAATCGGCTTTCTCATACAGGTCACTAACTTGCAATGATATTTTAAATTAAATGCCACTATTTTAATGCAAAATCACCAGTATGCTTTGGATTTGTCTATTTGTGACTACATGGAGAAATCTCAAATGTATTTGGGTTCCAGGTCTCAAAATGTTCTAAAGGCATTTGCCTTCCATCAAAACTAAGAAAACTGAACAGCAATGCACTTTGGAGAAGGTTGCCTACATACCATTTTGGCCGAGGAATGGTGAATAAGAATTTATAAGGTTACATTTTATACAAATATCCTGCACCATTGCAAAGTGGAAGACAATAGAGATTAAAGCATTTGCTTACTTCTCTGAACCAGACCTTTGATCCCAGGGAACCAGGAATCCCAGACTATACATGATATGCCCAACAGACTATTTAAAAATTCCTTACTAATATTTTACATGTGCCAGATTTATTTATTAAAAAAAAACAAGCATTACCTTTGCCCTGACATTTTCAAAGGATGCTGGGCTCACAAGGGAAAAGCAGATCAAAAACACATCCTATTAAAAAGGAATAAAGCAAAAAAAAACTGTTAAAGCTGATCCAAGTAAGGGTTCACCAAGCTTACCCGTATTTTTAGGGAATGTCATCAAATTGGCATCAAGGTGACAGAGATCAAGAGAAACATGAAACATTTATGCTGCAAAGAGGAGAGATAATTGATAAGCTACTCAAACCCAATGAGGCTAAATCCCCTGATCTGAACGATCTGCATCAACGCACATTAAAAGTTAGGGAAAAGATGCACTATTGCATACATACGAAAGCTCATTTGAGACAGCTAATGTAACAAGTTCAGGGAACTATATACTAATTAGTTTAACATAACTGATAGGAAATATTATGGAATCCTAACTCAACCATCTACAAAATGAAAACATAACAGCACAGACTTCAAAATTGAAGATTGTATTTGTCCAAGGCACTAAATTATTTGAAGCAGCAGAAAGAATAGAAAAGGGTAATACAGTAGGTGTAATAAATATGGATTTCCAAAAACCTTCAACAAATCATACAGTAATCTCATTACTAAGGTCAGAGCACAAAGATAAAAGTACAAAGCTGGTTACAAAACATCAAAAAGGTTAAAGGTGTTTACTTAGATTGTGCGAAGTGATGTTTCCTAAGGATCAATACTGGGACAACGGTTCTTCACTATTTACACAATTGATTTGAACTCCGGAGCCACCGTATAATTTCAAACTTTCTACATAACTCCAAATTGATGTCATTAATGAAGAGGAAGACTATGACCCAATATAGGAAGACACTGCTTGCAGAATTAGCATGCAATTGGCAGAAGAACACCAACAAGTGACAGATGATACACTTTGGTAGAAAGAATAAGGAGGCCACATATGCTATGGAAAATAAATTTCCCAATGTGTTACTGGTGAGAGGAATCAGGGACACAGATACACAAATCAGTAAGGGTAGCAATGTAGGTGGCGAAGAACAACAAAACAAAGGTAAACTAAGCACTTCGGTATTTGTCAAGAGGTATAGATTTGAAATGAAACTAAATTAAACTTGTTTCAGAACTGTGATCAGATTATATTTGCATGCTTCCCATTACTGGAAAAACCAAAGCTTGAGGCCACAACTATGTGATAATTACTAATACAGGAAATTCAGAATAATCTTCTTTACCCAGATTGTGATTAAATAGGTAACTCATTATGTCAAAGCGAGGGGTTAAGGAAGCAGCGTACATGTATTTGAAAAGAAAGTGAGATGAGACTAGTAGACTTTTACAGCACAGTTGGCCCATTGTGTTTGCACCAGTTAAACAAGATTAGATTACAATAATCCCATTTTCCAGCTTTTGGCCCATTGCAGTGGAGGCTATGGCAAAGTAAGTGAATAACTAAATACTAAAGTGTTATGAGAATTTCTGACTCAACCATCCTTTGAGGAAGTGACTTCCAGGCTCCCATCCTGCTGCAAGTTAAAATACTCTCCCTGACTCTTCTCCTTCCACCCGATCTTAAATTTATGCTCAATGGTTACTGACACCTCTATGAATGAAAAATTGCCACCTTATTCACCCTATTTATGCCCCTCAATCTTATAACATCGATCAGTCCCCGTCTCAACTTGCATTGCTCCAAGGACACAAGCCTAGCCTATTCAATCTTCCCTCATACCTCAGATTCTCCAGTCCAGGCTACATCTTGGTAAATCTCCTCTAAATCCTCAATCACACTTTCTATAATGTGGTGATCACAGCTGCATGCAGTGCTCCAGTTATACCCTAACTAACTGTTTAGTTATCCAGCATAACCTCCTTGCTCTTGTAGCCTATGCCTCAGCAAGTATATGTCCTCATAACCACATTATCTACCTGCCCTGCTGTCTTTAGGGATCTATGCATGTGTACACTAAGGTCCCACTAATCTCCAGTACTTTCTAGGATCCTACTATTCATAGTGTAATCACTTGCCTTGTTAGCCCTCTACAAGTGCATTACCTCACTTTTTCAGGTTGAATTCCATTTGCCACTGCTCTGCCCAGCTGACCCATCCATTAATATCCCACCATAGTTTACAGCTATCCTCCTCTCTATTTACCACCTTACCAAATTTCAGGTCATTCACGAACTTCCTGATCATACCCAGTATGTTTAAGACCAAGTTGTTAATACACACTACAAATAGCAAGGGCTCCACCACCAACCCTGTGGAACCCATTGGAAACAGACTTCCATATGTTCTATCATCACCTTCTGCTTCCTGCATCTCAGTCAATTTTGGATCTAATGTGACACTTGCCTTGGATCCCACAAGCTCTCTTTCTTGAGAAGTCAGCAACAAGATCAAAAGCCTTGCTAAAATCCATGTAAACCACATCAAATGCATTATTGTTAACATTCTTGGTTGCCACCTCAAAAAATTTGATTTTTTTTGAATGACTATCCCTTACAGAATTTTACCTAATAACTTCCCCACCAGCGAGGTGAAAATGACAATTTCCTCGTCTATCCCTTTCTTATTAATGGGATAAGGTTAGCAGTCCTCCAGTCCTTTGGCACCCCACCTGCCAGGGCCCTTGCTATCCACTCACTTGCCTCCCTCAACCACCTAGGATACATCTCATCGAACCTGCAGATTTATCTACCTTTAAGGCTGCTAAATCCACTCGTACCTCCATGTTAATTTCTTCTAATATTTCATGCTGATGGCTGTATCTGTATCATCCTTTCCATGGTGAAGGCCCACACAAAATATTCATTGAGGACTGTCTCCACAAATCCAGGTCCACACAAACATTACCTCTAAGGTCCCTAACGGTTCCTACTCTTTCCCTACTTATTATCTTGCTCTTTAAATATTTAAAAATCCCTTTGGCTTTCCCTTTATTCTACTCACCAAAGCTTTTTCATGCAAAACAATATGTTAATAGGGTTAAAACGTAGCAGGATGGGAGTTGGTTTGTACGAAACATGTACATGAACCTGTTGGGCTGTATGGCCTGTTTTTGTGCTATAAATATTTCATAACCATTAGATAAAGCCTTTAACAGCAGTTTTTTAAACTGGTGGTGAAATTTCAGATATAATCACTAAGTCAATTCGTCTTTTATGTTTATGGAAACACACCAAAGAAAATCTCATCAAATGTGAGTCTTTCATATTCAGCTTTACTGATAAAAACTCAATTTTCATAAACAATCTAAGAAAAGCAATCATAACACAAAATTATCAAAAAAAAACCAAGATGGAAACTGTTGCAGTCTTCATTGAAACCAGTGAACAAAAAAAGATGCTTCTGTGGTATGAATACTACAGGTTAGATTAATACATTGCACAATATAACTCAACAAAAACAGGTCATGATGGAATAGCTAATAGTTCCTAACGGCAAGACAGGTGTTACAACCTGTTACTGTAATGATAATAAATAGTATTATCCGTCGCTGATTAATACCGCATGTTGATTAATTAACCTGGTTAAGTCCAGAAAATGCCAATGGCTTTGGGCAAAGATGTGCCAGACCTTAGAAGAAAGCCAAATGACCCAGGAGTTAATCCTTGAATGAGTCCAACTGCAAGCTGCAATACAACTGATGTACGCGATGGGTCATAATAAGAGCAATCATGGACAGTATGAAAGCCAATATCAGGGTTCATTCAAAGAGGTCTGGAGGATATCCACAGGAGCTCCAACCATCACCGGCTAATGATTATGAGACTCTCTTCAATGCTTATTCTACATTGTTATCATGTTACAAATTTGCCGAAGATTTGTAAAGACATCAGACAAAGACAGGACAATATTTATGCCTTTGAACCGATTGCTCGACAGTGTCATGGTTCATGAGAGTAACATTTACTTGGATGGGATATGGGAAGATTTGTGGCATCTAAACTCCAGCAAATCCAACCTCCAGGATACGAAGGAAAAAAAATGCTAAGGACGGAAACACAAAAAGTAACATACCGTCTGTGGGTAAGAGAGGGGTCGGAGTCGGTCATAATCTTCCTGACCTGCTGTATCCCAGAGTCCCAAGTTCACTGGTTTCCCATCGACCATAACATTAGCTGAATAGTTGTCAAATCTGCAAAATTAAAACATTATATTTTTGCCTGCTGAATGAATGTTAAACAGTTTAAGAACACTTCATAAAGCATGGTACAATCAATACTTACACTGTTGGAATGTACTCTCCGGGGAATGCATTGGTGGTGTAGCTGATGAGTAGGCATGTCTTACCTACAGCACTGTAAATGCAAAGAAATCAGCATTAATAACAGAAAAAAAATCACAAGAAGAATCTAATTTGTGCTAAAATCTTATACACCTCGCCATAGAGAATCTCTGAATATAATCAAGCATCTTCCAAATTTATTACTCCAGGTTGCCGATTTTAACATTCATTTTGAAATACAGAGCTCTGACACATACTTTACAGCTCTTAATTCAAGGTTGCAGCACTAAATTTCTTTTGCGAACCAGTGGCAATAGCACGAGTAAAAATGTAGTGTAATTATAACTGTGTTGAACTTCAACATGTCAAACAAAAACTTTAACAACCTGAACAACAGAAATATATTAAAACCAAAATACTGAATGAATTATTAAGCAGAGTCAAGTCTCTAGTTTGATTGCACATCATTTCATCTTCACCCCTAGCATGCCCAACTTCCCCAGCCCCAGCTGCAGTTCAGACAAATTGTTTTAGCACACTGATACTCTTGCTATTCTACTTTCTAACATACTATCAATTCTGTCTGAATATTACAGGAGTATATAATTTTAAGAATATTCCAACTTATTACTTGCAACCTAAATACCAACAATGTACAGCAGCTTTTAAAAATATTACCATTAAAAATCAGTTTTAGTTTCTGTATGAAATACTATTATACTCAGCTATATTGACAGTACACAATATATCTATATTGCCATTAGACCCCAAAGATGATTGCTGGACTCAAAGCCAGAAATTCAACTGATTAAATTCTTTGGGTGAGGAATAGGTGTTTTTCTTTATAAAAATCACTGCCCCAGAGATAGACAACTCGTACCAAATGTGGAGAAAAAGTCAGGAGAAAAGGCTTGCATCATTACCCGAAGCCCTACTTTCATAATTTATAGATTATATATAAACACTGGAGGTGGTTTCCTGCAATATTAGACAGGGTTGAAATGGAGCCACCAGAAGAATGACAGGTTTCAAATTCAGTTTTCATATTGTGACAAGCTGTTTAACCTGGTGCAAAAACATTTTGGCTTGATGCAATACCCTGTTCTTGTGACTGTCCAGCTGCTGTGATGACAGGCTACAATCTTAAATTGTCATTGACATCTAACTCTTTCTTCGGCAATGAGATTGGACTGAACCAAAACAGAAATTGCTCAAAAATCTCAGCAGGTCTGGTACATCTGTGGACAGAAATCAAAGTTAATGTTTTGGGTCCAGTGACCCTTCTTCAGAACTGACGGTAACTAGGAAAAGGATAGTCTTTAATACAGAAGATGGAGTGGGGAGAGAAGGTGGAATAAACGATAGGTGAAGATAGAGCCCTAAGAGAGAGAAATACAGTTGGACAGACAAAGGCGTGGTTAAAGGTTGGTTGGGGAATGAATAGCTGCTAATGGAGACTATTAGTGACTGACAATGGGTAGTAATGTGGTAGCAGCCCATGTGATACCAAGGCTTGGTGTGTGGGGGTGAGAGAAAGCAAGGGGAAAGGCGTTTAAACCCTAAAACTGTTTTGAACTCAATATTAAGGCCAGAAGACTGCAGGGATTCCAAGTGGAAAATAAGATGCTGTTCTTCAAGCTTGTGCTGAGATTCGCTGGAGCACTGCAGCAAGCCTGAGATGGAGATGTTGGCCAGAGAACATGGTGATGTGTTGAAGTGGCAAGCAACTAGAAGCTCAGAGTCTTCTTCTGAGACAGAACGTAGGTGTTCTGCAAAACAGTTACCCAGTCGGCACTTCATTTCCCCCAATGTAGGGGAGACCACATTGTGAGCGGCTGTCTGTGCACTGTGAAGTTTTGCATCTAATAATTAGTTTCCTTCAAATCTAGCTTCTTTTAAAATGAGGAAACATCAGTAAACTACACTTATTACAGTACAATATATTGTGGGAGATATGCTGAAGATATTAAAAAGGGGAAATCTTCATGCAGAAGCGTCTAACAGATGTGACCTGGATCTAAAAGTCAGTTGTGCGAAACCAAAGCTCTTCACTACCACCAACATACTCCCATGAAGCCATTTTAGTTGAAAATGACTTGACCTTTGCACTTTTACACAATGTGAGGTCAACTAGTGTGGGTGTTTACATTCAACCACTATCTACAACACAGGTTAATGCTAGGAAGCACATAAACATAAGAATTAGAACAAGATTAAACCTTTCAGCCCCTCAGGCCTGGTCCACAATTCAGTAAGATCATGGCTGTTCTGATTGTTTCTTCAACTCCACTTTCCTGCCTATCCTAAATAACCTCAGATTTTTGACTAACAAGGGACTCAAAGACTCTCAATCCTCTAAAGAGAAATAAAGAATTTTCACCCCCATCTTAAATGTGATAAAACCTCTGGCCCTGATGTTTCCCACTGTGGGAAACATACTTTCAACTCCGCTCAAGTGTCCCCCCCCGTACCTTAAGTACTGTATGTCAATAAGATCACTTCCAATTCTTCTGAATTCCAACGGATAGGCCCAACCATTCCAACATGCTTTTCTCATAATACCTCCCTAGATTCCTGAATCCTACATTCAAATGAGTGGAACCTTCTCACATTTACATGCCTCCTTAAATATGGTGACCAAAACAGTACACAATACTCCAGTTGTGGTCTCACCAACATCCTCTACAAATGTATCAAAACAGCCCTAATTTTATATTTCATTCCCTTTGCAATGAAGGGCAATATTTCATTGATATTCCTAGAAGATAAGTGGTTAAAATATCCAAATTCTCTCTAGTTAACTAGAAGACCATCATTAATGTGGACATTCATTCTTAACAGTCACAAACAAGCAAACATCAATATAAAAGTGCTTCAACTTGTTCTACAGCATAGCAACCTCCTCAGGAAAAGGAAGGTCCGAGACTATATTCTACTCAGTATAATACTATTGATTTTAGCTTCCCAGCTTTGATGGAAAAAATTCACTAGTTTAAATAATAAAGACAGGGGCTTCCCAATTCAAGTACAATATTCAGTAGTAGTGCAGATGTGTCGTGACCATAGCTTCTAGAGGTTGGGAATCCTGAATAAGCCAATGTGTTTTCCAGGGTGCAAACAACATATTTGTTACTCCATAGGTTTGACAGGAGACCTATGAAACAGGCCCAGTTCTTTCTAGAGGTGCCAATGCTCAATGAACCTAGAGTCACGGAGTCAGAGTTGTGCAGCATGGAACGTACCCTTTGATCCAACTCATCCATGCCAACCAAATATCCTAAATAAATCTAGTCTCATTAGCGAGCATTTGGACCATATCCCTCTAAAACCCTCCTATTCATGCACCCATCCAGATGCCTTTTAAATGCTGTCATTGCACTAGCCTCCTCCACTTCCTCTGTCGGCTCATTCCATACACATACCACCCTCAGAGAGAAAGCTGCCCCTTAGGTCCCTTTTAAATTTTTCCCCTCTTACCTTAAACCAATGCTTCCTAGTTTTGGGCTTCCCTACCCTGGGAAAAAGGCCTTAGCTATTCATCCTAGCCATGCCCCTCATGATTTTATAAATATGTCATCCCTCAGCCTCCGATGCTCCAGGGAAAATAGTCCCACTCTATTTAGCCTCTCCCTGTAGCTCAAATCCTCCAACCCTGGCAACATCCTTGTAAATCTTTCTTGAATCCTTTCAAGTTTCACAACATCTTTCCTATAGCAGGGGGACCAGAACTGAATGCTGTATTCCAAAAGTGGCCTAACTAATGTCCTGTACAGCTGCAACATGACATCCCAACTCTTGTACTCAATGCACTGACCAAATGCATATTTCATTATTTTGTCTACCTGTGACTCCACTTTCAAGTAACTTTGAACCGGTACTCCAAGGTGTCTTTATTCAGCAACACTCCCCAGGACCTTACCATTAAGTGTATAAGTCCTGCCCTGATTTGCCTTTCCAAAATGCAGCACCTAACATTTATCTCAATTAAACTCCATCTGCCACTCCTTGGCCTACTGGCCAATCCGTTCTGGTGTTACTCATTTCCTTTTGAAATACCAGTAAGGAAAAGAACAAACTTAATTTGAAACATGTATTACTCGTTCGTTTTCTATCATACTTTAATTTCTCATTATTCTTTCAGTCACTCTTTGCTACTTTTTAACATTCTGGCCTGCAACTTATCTCTCAAAATTACATGCTTCTTTTTATTAGATATCATTAATTGCCTTAGCTGTGGTATGTCCTTTCCTTAGAAACATTTTTAAAACAACATTGGAATATATTTTTTGAGTTCTGAAACATCTCCTTAAATGCCTGCCACTAGATCTCTGCTGACCTATTTCTTAACCTAATTTCTCAGTTCACTTTAGCCAGTTCTGTCTTCTTGCCTCATATGTCCCTATTTAAATTGAAAACATTACTCTTAGACCCATTCTTCTCTCCCTCAAGCTAAAAGTGAAATTAAATAATTATGATCAGTGCTATCCAGGGACACCTCGGTTATGAGATCATTAATTAATCCTGTCTTATTGGACATTACCAGATCTAGTACAGTCTGCACTCTGGTTGGTTCTGGAAAATTCTGCTCAAAGAAACTGCCCCAAAAACACTCAATGAACTAATCATCCTGATTACCTTTGCCAATACGATTCACTCAATCCATGTGTAGATAAAAATCACCCAACTATCATGCCTTTTTTTTTTACAAGGCTCCATTATTTCTTTCTGTATACCTCGCCCTACAGTATGATTACTGTAATGGGACATATAAATTACTTCCACAAGCGACTCTTTTCCTGTACAATTTCTAATCTCTACCCAAACTGTTTCTACTGTTTTATCTCCAGAATCAAGATCTCCCTTGTCACTACTAACATCATGTGGGCAGCACGGAGGCTCAGTGGTTAGCACTGCTGCCTCATAGCGCCAGGGACCCAGGTCTGATTCCACCCTTGGACGACTGTCTGTGCGGAGTTTGCACATTCTCCCAGTATCTGAGTGGGTTTCTTCCGCGTGCTCCAGTTTCCTCCCACACTCCAGAAATATGCAGGCTAGGTGGACTGGCCATGCTAA